CCCTCCCGCCCTCCCTCCCACCCCTCCAGCAGCGATGGCAGAGGAACAACAACAGCCGCCACCACAGCAGCCTGATGCCCATCAGCAGCTTCCCCCCAGCGCCCCCAACTCGGGGGTGGCTCTGCCAGCCCTTGTGCCCGGGCTGCCAGGGACAGAGGCCAGCGCGCTGCAACACAAGATCAAGAACTCCATCTGGTAAGAGGATCCTCCATCGCCGGGGTAAAGAAGCCCAGGCACATTTCTGCTGCAAAGGGGGTGGAGGGGCGGGCGGGGGAGCGGAGGAGGAGGCCGATGCCTTCATTGAATGTGGTTTCCCGACTCGGGTGCACATTTGTAGGACCTCTGGAGGTGTGGGGACTTGGCTTCAGCCCCTGGTCGTCGTAGCCAAAAAATGCTTTGACTCCCTCCTCAATTGTGAGTGCAGATGAACAGGTTATTTGTGTTTTTCACTTAGTGTAAGGGGACTGTGGGTCGAAATGAAGTCATTACTGCACGGTGGTGGCATGGATTTGGAACTGGGAATGTGAAATGTGTTTACTCCCTTTTTGCCGTCATAGAGGAAGAAGTGTATTGTGAATTTTCACCATACAGACATTGTGCGTAAGAATATTATCATGCAGCACAAAACCTAATGTATCTCTTCCTTTCAGTTAGTTGGGTTAGCTGCCCTTTCTGGATGTTTTTTTGCTTCCTTTATTCTAATAATAAATGTCCCTTCTAGGGAGTTTATTTTGTTGCATTAATTCTGAAGGAAATCTTTCCTTAGTGTAAAATATTTTAAGGTCGTTTATGCTGTAAAGTGACTTCTAAATTTTAAAAAATGCGAAATGAAATATATGTCTTGCTATTTTGTCTTTTTTAGAGAAATTATAGATGCAGTACCTTTTACTATTCCTGTATTTTCTTGCATGAGGATTTCCGATATTTTAGCGTTGAATTGAACTCTTCAAGACTGCTGGCAGCCTTTTAATAATTAAATACACCGAGTTAGCCCATCCTCTGTTTGAGCCTTTGCAAATATTCTTTGAACCTGAACTTGCATTGTCTTGTAGGGTTCTTCATTAACTGACATTTTAAAAAAGCATAGCACTGTTTTTAAAACGGAAAACAGTATTTGGGTTTGGTCTGAGAGATTGCTTTCAATAGAAATTTTAAAATAAAAATTAACAAATGTGTTAACGTTTATTTTGAAAATGAAATCTTGCAAGTCTGTCATTGACTATTACTATTAAAATATCAAAGCTCCCTACTTTTAAATTGAAATTTAAAAACAAACCTATCCTAAAGCAACTGACATTGCACATATGCTATTTACACATTTAAAGACTGACATTTTTGTCAACACAAACTTAAGGTTTGTAAAAATAGTAATTTTCATCATTTTCTTGGCATGCATCCATGTTTTCATGATGCTAATATGAAGTAGGTCAGTGCAGGCTTTCATAGTACACAGCAGTTGACACTTGATTCTCTTGCTTTCAGTTTTCATTTTAAAATGAAATTCAGATATTTTAAAGGAGAATATTTGTCTTTGACAATAGTCATGTTGTAGCACCTTGAATTAGTCAGATAAATACTATTGTCCTATGTGGTGGGGAGTTGAGGGGGGGAGAGAGAGAAAACAGACTTTATTCTTCAGTGGTACCCTCTGCCCCTTTATAGAGCTGTAGTAAATCTCCTGCTTACCATGAAAGCTTCCACAAAACCAGAATTTATTTTTTTCTGTCTATTAACATGATGTGACTTAGTGTCTCACAGATCGTTATTGAATTGACCATCTTGGTTTTTTACGTTCAGATGAGGGACAGCCAAGGAAAAGGATTCAAGTCTTTTAAGAAAGGCAAATCTTAAAAGCTGAATTGTTATTAAGTTGTGTTTTAATTTATTATGAGAATAATAGGAGAAGGGAATCGTTATACTAAGTGAGCTGTACAGGCAATTGAGTGAAGTGTTTAAATAATGATGATAGTGAAATGCTGTTTTTTAGTAAATCATGGTATTTAATTTTGCCTTCATGGATCATTGATACACATTACAGTTTAACTGTGTCGGCCTTGATACGAGAAAACTTCTGAAGTAGAGTTCACTTTAGTTTTTGGTATTTGCTCAGAAAAACTAATGGGCAACGAACACCTTAATCCCCAAATGTGTAATTTTATGTATATTTTAAAAATCATAATGGCACACTTACTAGCATTTAATGTTCAACTTGGAAATCCTGTTTACAAAAGAAAATTATTTAAAATTGTAGTACAAGCAATATTAATGGATAATAAGCAACATTAATAGATTTAATTAATATATATATCTCATACCCCATGTACCATAGACTGTATTTATATAATTCATGAAGTAACTATGTACAATAAAGATGTTAAAAAGTGAAAGCTCCTTTACTACCGTTTTTTCAGTGAGTGTGTATTAAATTTAAATCATTTTTAGTAGATAAGTTTGTAGCTTTTTAGATACCTCATTTCTCTTTTTTTTTTAAGACAATAATTTTACAAATGATTTTAACTCCTGGTAATGTTCTGAGAGATTATAAATTTTGCACTACTTCCTATATTAACCTTTGGTACCATTACTGGTAAGAATTTAAAATTGAATTCAAGAGAAATGTGGCCTTTAAAAATTATCAAAGAGTTTTGTATTTAGGTTGATTGTAGTTTCTAAATTACTGGGCTTGTAGATCATAAACAAGTCTGTACTTGTCCTCCTATTCTACAAATGTAAATATAGTATGTGATGTAGGCCTTTGGCTGGACAGTGAGTTATTTATTATCTCAGTTCATAATTAATTCTATTTATTAAACTAAAAAGCTGTCTGATAAAAGTATGTCTACTGTAATTTGAAGCATTAAGTGAGTCTTTGAAAAAAAGATGAAGTTGGAACTGTAGTACTTAATGAGACTGAAATTATATTTAAGAGTTGGAATTTTTTTTTTTTTTTGAGAGGTTTTTTTCACTATAGGGCACGTGCGCTCACCAGACAGAAAGTGAGAAATCACCCCCCAGAGGGGATGGCCATGCCACAATCCCTTCTCCTCCATTCTCCTCTCGGGATCTTGGGCACGCACGCACTCGGCATGGGTTTTAAGCCACCGGATCCGGGACGCGAACCGCGGTCGACTACGTGGGAGTCCAGCGACATAGCCATTACGCTAACTGCTGGTTCCCAAGAGTTGGAAATATTTTTAAGGTAGTTTTAGAAAATAAAGATACTGCTAACTTAATAGTGTTGTTTACATAATATGTTGGTGATTACTTTCTGCTTAAATCCAGGTTAACAAGCTCGTTAACTCCATGGACAAAAGGTCCAAATCGCACTTCTCATTTAATTTTACTTATTTTAATTTGCTATAAGGCACATGTGCTTCCCAAAGAGAGAGTAGGTGAGAAAACAAGCCACCAGGTCTGGGACTCAAACCATGTTCAGTCATGTAGGAGTCCAGTGCCTTAACCACCATGCCAGCTGCTGTCCCACCCCAAGAAAAACTTCTTTACTTACCTTACAATGTGCCCTTCTTTGGTTTCTTTGAACAAACAATACCAAAGCTAGTTTCTGCTTTCTGTCATTTATATACCAATGTCTTCATAATTGAAAAAGAAAACTTGTATGTACTGTCAATAAGAAGAATATAGTAAGCACTTTTCTTTTTAAAACAGTTTTTTCTTGAAACCTTGATAGAATAATATTGCTGTGGAAAAAAATAGGAAAGAAAAAATTACTTTTAGATCCCTTATGTCTGTGATTAGTTATGTTTAAGAATAGATCACACCTATAGGTGGGAGTGATGAACATATTTGCAGTTAAGCCGTAACGTAGATAGTAAACTTTGACCTAGAAATTCACATGACATGCCGATATTTTATTGTAGAAAATATTTTGGCTAATAATTGTATGTACTCCACACACAAATCCAGAGATTTGTAAAAGAATTAATTGTTAGCAGTTGCTACTCTATATAACTCTTTAATTACAGCCGAGAACTTATAAACGTTTTCTTAAAATGGTTAAAATAAGGTACATCATTGTTCTGACAACTTTCTGGAAAGAACTAACCTGAGTGACAGGGAAATTACAGGGTTCCTCTGGTTTGTTGTTGGAACCTGAAGGCAGTGCTGGGTTTAGAGTTTCTTGATTTTATTCAGTCTTGTAGGTCATAACTTCTGGATATGTTGTAGACATAGAATTAGAATCTAAGTAGAATTATGTGTGCAGTCTAATTTGGATGTTTTCTAAATTCTTACTTAACCCCAAATTGAGCAATTTTGTTTTACTTATTTGTTGTGATGATAGTAAACATCTTGCTATTAAGTGATTACATGGTCTCGTTTCCACCTTAGTTACGAGTTTCCTAGAGGTAGAAAAGACAGAATTATCT